TATCCGCTCTCGGGGGTCGCATTTGCGATTTTCAGAGTCTTCTCAGTAAGTGGGGTTGATGATTGGATTGGCGTTGGTGAAGGCATATTTTCCTTGTCTTGGTGAACTGAAGGGTCCACTCTCGATCCTAATTGTTGTCCAAACACTGTTCTCAGCCTGGCCTGTACTTCAGGCATTTTACGCGTCACATGCAACAGGGTCTGAAGAACCTCTATGCAGGTGTTGAGAAGAGTTTTCTTATCTAACCGACTGTGATTCCGTGGCTGTAAATGATCAAGTCGAAATGAAGACCCCGTGTACTGCAATCCCATCAAATAATCGACCAATTCATACTTACGTCGCCACCGACCAATGACATCGCTAGGCCATAAATCTTTGTCATCTTCTCTGAAATACATTCTCGACGACGTCTTTCGAGATGCTTTTTTTTCACCTAGGAACAAATAGGCGAGTTGATTTAAAAGCTCAAACATTGATAAATATTTGCCATAGTAGGTAACACATACCCTCGTCATTGCTTGTCGTTGTTCCAGCGGCACTGTCGATCTGCGTCCGCGTTTGCTTAATCCACGAATCCTCTGAGGAGACATTTTAAATGGACGAACTTGTGACACATGGTGCCTGCACAATGGCTTTTATTTGTCTCGGCGAAGCGTAGCGCTCATTGGCTCAGACAGGAGCCAATCACGTGTCAGTGAATGTGGCTCATCCAGTCACGTGAGACCACGTGTTCACCAATGACGTGCGCGTGAGGAGCAGAATGCATGTAGCACACGAGGTCGGATCCTCAAATGACTCTCGCCATACAAACAAGCAACTTGATTAGGCAGTGCCAAAGTACTGTTTTTTTGTATCTGCATTAACTGCATCTGGTTGGTCACTGTTTCTTTAAATTTTTTCGAATAGCTTCTCATGTCATGTTGTGGGCAAAAGAATGCTCATCTGCATGTGTGTTTATGAAAAACGTCAGATTGTGATGCCACTGGTGACACCGATTGCTAACGATTGAACACATGAACAAACAGTTCTCAGTTAACGTAGCCAGCGAGTCAGGAAACGAGTGGTGTATTGTCGACTGACTCGGCAAACGGCAAGGCAAATTCAATACGGCTTGATGCGAATTCCAAAAGTGGTGTCATCGTTCATCCCTCCCCACATCCACGAGGATTTTGTGAAGTCGACAGCCAGGACAATCTACGCCAGAAATAAGTAAACAAATTAGTTTTAAACTATGAGTGAAGGGCGGGAGACAGGCGTTTGACCCCTGAGTGTGTTGGCACGTTGTGTCTAGACAATGCGTTCTGTTCCCTAAACCCGAACTAGCACGTGTCTCACATCACCGACAATGCGCTCTCTCCAGCTTTGATGGGGCTCAGTGTTGGAGTGAGATCAGAGCTTGTGGCGTCAGTTTGGACCACATTTTCACCCAGGTGCCTCGTGGCATCCTCTTACGCATGTCTGGTTATCTTGACAATTTGGATGTGTGAGCGCTCCAGTACGTAGGAGCACGGCAGACTACTCAGATGTCCCAAGTGCGTTTCAGAGTAGTAGTGGCGGTAGTAGTAGTAGTAGCACACTCATATGCAAAGCCCAGAACGACGATGACAGAACACCTGACACGAACACCTCTTTAAACCAAACGTCTCTTGTTAACGTGATCCACAGCAAAATGTTTAAAGCATAACCAATTCATAAATGAGTGAAAACGATTCGGGGACGCGGATATGACCCACATACGCAATTTGCTGTTTATGCGTCTTCGTCAATTTTGGAGGGATAGGACCCATTGGACTTTCGAACATGTTTGAATAACGCAAGGAATGAACCGGTGAGCATATTCGTCCATGCCGAGAAATCAAACTGAGAAAGAGGGGTGAGGCGAAAATCAGTGCAATGATTCTGCATCCGTAGATAATGAGGCACTATGAAGGCTGCAGTTACCGAACACATCACACCCACTGTGCATTGACGTCGCATTATCTGCACCGCATGCTCGTCAAGTCTGTGCAAACCCCGATTCAACCGAAGGCTCAATAATTGTGGATGGTCTTAAGTGCGTTTCAGAGGAGTGCAAGTGGACCAATGGGATGGTAGCGGCTGTTTTGAGTCCAAAACATGGTGTGCATAGACGAGAACAACAATAAAAGAATCAAAAACATCTGTTAAAATTTTAAGTTTTGATGGGAATAACCTGGGACACCTTGGACCCGTGCACATGACTCCATTATCTCAAAGAACCAAGAGGTGCAAGCCGCCGATTTCGAAACCGGAGAAGTGAAGAGTCGAATGAGGAGGCAGCCTGCAAGGATTCCAGACGAGCACTTTGTCGTTTCTGATGCTTCAGTCAGCTTTAGAAGTATCTTTGATCCAGATAACAATGCGGAAGATTATGTCATCTGGACATTGAGGCTCTTGAAATGATGCCGCCAATCATAACCCCGGAAGCAAATCAGCTTGCCCACAAAGGCAACCAAGATGCTTACTGACTGAGTGTTTACCACCGTAAACATTTTGGTGCCGCGAAAACACGTTACCACACCCTTCAGTTAATCAATGTGGCTGAGCTCGACTGACAAATTTTACGTGCGTTTTAAGAGAATCCCAAAAGCCTCTCTCAAAACGGAGCACTCGCATCACCCCTCATCATTCATTTCCATAGCCAATCATATTTGCAGAAAGCTTTGTTCTATTCGGATAACCAGTAATGTGTACACATGAAGGGTCAACTCGACTATTGAATTGGTCGAGATAGGGGGGCCATAACTGGTGGTGTTTTAGTGGAGAAGGTAAATGCGATTTGAGGAGATGTCCAGTGTTGGCGATGCACACTGTCGCTGGAGCATCCAAGCTGGAAATGTCTTTACCAGGGATGAAGGAAGGGTTGGGTTGTTTGGTACAATTCGATGGACACCCACAGACTTTAGAGAGCCACGGCTTGAGTTCTGGCTGCGCATTCACTAGGGCACTGCAGCGGCTGAGCACAACGCTGCACTGTGTGGGAATGTCCGTTTCCGCGGTGTGACGGTGTCGTCGGGGCTACGACGACACGAAAATCGCGTTCTCCGCATCCTTCACCAATATATCGAGCAGATCACGCACGCAACGTGAGAGATCACGTCAGTGGGTATTGATTTGCCACGGCTTGTGCTACTGTTGCCATGCCGTGGATGCACTGACCCGTGGCGCACGCGGCACGCGAAACCACACGACGTCAGTTCTAATCGGACCAGTTTGCACACCTTCATTCAACTGGCTAGAAACCCACTTGATGCGTTCACTGGCTACATCTCCTTCACTTGTCCCACTGCAATTTGTATTATAATTTCTAAAATTTTGCATCACTCAGGTCTTTAGCGATGAACACTGCCGACAAGTAATCACGTCAAACCCTCCATTCACCTCCCCGCAAGGTGTTGACAAGTCCGTCTCCGTCATATTCTGACCACAAACCTCACAACGTCTCATGTTTCACAGCGTGTCATCTAACCTGTTCTTTTGGTCCAGTGTGACGGACTCGTCATTTAAATAGAACCTCCCTAACTCAGAGTGACGATATGAAAGTCACATGAAACGATGAGTCAGAAAGTATTGCAGGACGAATTGAATTGTTGAAGAGGAATGATCAGTTTGGAAGATCAACGACGGCGTTGTTGCCAAGCGGATGAGTAAGTTCCCGTTTTGTGTCGACTAATGTTGAACAAACAATACGAGTCGACATATTGAAATAGCTCTATGGATAAGTGATAAATTCAACGAACTTCCACGAAAAACAAAAACGTATTCAGAACCACCACAGGTGGTTTCCAATTCGAGGGCAAAAGCCTGCCCATTGACAGTAGTAAAGAACCGTCACCGTTCAATTTTTTACGAAGGAAGTGTAAACATTGAGATCTGAATGCACCACAGAATATTGTGAATGTAAGGACACGAAGACCGACAATAGGCGCCTACTCATGCAAGTCACGACTCACCCACACCGATCACGAAACTGCCAGAACAGCAAGGCAACAGCAGTCTCAGATTGCGAGTTCGAGTTCACACAAATCCACCGTGCTTGGAAGTATTCCTTAGATATGAGGTCCACATCCAAGTCGTAATTCGATACTGCTCTCGCAGTCATGATATGAGATGAGGTAGCCCGACTGGAGATAACAGGCACCACGATAAGCCAACAAGGTTTCGCTCTGCTTATGAACTAGTATCGGGGTTTTTTAGTAAGAATATATTTAGAGCGAGAGAGAGTCATTTATGTGCGAAAAATGAACGGACGACTTAGCAAAATCGAACACTACTGGAATAGTTTCCAGCTGGCAACAATATATGATTATCGCGATTATCACACCTCAAGTCATCCACACCATCGCATGTTGCCGTACTTATAAGTCCACCTCAGTAACAACCGGGTCATGTTCACATCGTGCACACATTAATCTCCACGACGCTTCACCATATCACTCCGTGGTGTTAAGATCGCAAGACAGTCTACTCGAGTAATGTTCGCTATTTGACAACCACAAACTGTTCAGTGCTGTTGGCATGGGCCAGACGCTTTGCTACCTGGACAGTGTCCTGAGAGTGGATGTTGGTTTATACCTTAACGCTCAACTGCCTTGCCTACCGTCCATGAAGCTGTGCACACAAGGGAAGACATGTTTCCAGACACGTCGGAGGCGATGGATGTGTGGCGCTGAGCTTAGATCTTATTCTCAGGATGTGGATTTCATAAATCGATCCAAATTAGCCCATTCTCTCCATAACCACTAGGTTCACTGTCTGTGAGGGCACGGTTCTTTGGTTAGCAAGTCAGCTGTTCACGAACCCAAACGCACCAATGTTTCCACATTTTGTTTGAAAAATGAGTTGGTTCACGTAAGCAGTACACCTCTTACTCATCTGATCCACACAAAACTCTCAATATAAAAATCGGTTCAAAATGCAAAATCAAAATTATGGGATGGGGCAGGTGAGGAAAGGGGGTAAACAAACACAACTCAAGACTCATGTGGTTTACACAACCGGCAATCGTTGGCGTGGCGTTTCTTGAGACTGAGGTCCATCGGATGCATGGGACGCTCAGCCACTTCTTGGGATTGTTGAAACGTCAGTGGACATCGGGTTTCAGGGCTGTGAAAGTGGAGAATCGGGATGAAGAGAATACCAAAGGAAATAGTGTCGCCGTCACTGATGTTGGACTGATAGTGGGTTTGATGGAGTGGGAGTGGGCTGGCAATACTGCCATGGAATCCAATCTCGGGGGTTGCCATGGCATATCCCTCAGTCTTCCCTATAAGCACCGACGATGACATGATTGGTGTTGGTGGAGGCATGTTCTCTGTGCCTCTCTCGACTGGACGGGCCTTCCTCGAGTCTGGTCGTCGTCGTCATCGTCCGAATTCGGCTATTAGTGTTAAATGCACTTCAGGCATTCCACGAATCACATCCCACAACCCCTGAAATATCTCCTGCATACCTTGAGGCGAGTGGACTTGTGTAGTCGACTCTGATGTCGTAGCTGCAAATAATGCATTTGAAATTAAACCATATTTATCGCATGTTCACAACTATTTAATCTCTTCAAACTTGCGTCGCCACCACCCAATAATACCGCCTGATCATTTAACTCCTCCATCTTGTCCGAAATACCTGCGCGTCGACGTCGTTCAAGACGTCGTTTTTTGAGCTAAAAACAAGTAAGCGAGTTGAGTTGAACGCACAAGTAGTCAAGTAGAATTGAAATGGTAGCTGTTACATACCCTCGTCAAAGCCTGTCGTTGCTCCAGTGGCTCTGTTGACCTGCGTCCGTGATTGCTTAATCCACGATTCCGCTAAATATGCATACTGAAGTCGCGTAATTGTGACGCGTGGTGCCTGCACTGCGACTTGTATATGCCTCTGTGCAGCCTGACGTCGAAATTCGATACTCTTTTCGCAGCCATGAACTTGAATGCGGTAGCCTGACTGGAGATATCAGACACACTTTTCTCCAAAACGCTAAATTAAATGACCTGACAACACGGGCAGCACGTGTCACATCTCACAGCTGCTCACCTGTGTTCTCTCTAATCGATTCAGAAGTTATCATCCCCCGGTTCTTGCCAAAACGTGAACTCTGCAGACAATAAACCATGTCGTATCCCAACCCTCACCACCCAAGAAGCGATAGGTCGTGTTGCACCGAAGAGTCAATGGTTGAAATTCTAAAAAATGACATTCCATCACTCAGATACTCTATTTTTCTGAATTTGAGGGTGCTGTATTTAGGTCGCCTGAAATCGTTTTTTAGTCAACTGAAGGCTGTCTTCCTATTTTAGGGTTCTAGGTGTGATAATCTCTCCACATATCACACCTCACACGTCGTTCACCCTCTTCTCCTCGTCCTTAACACTCCAAAATTGTCGTGTAATATTGTGCTTTTCTTGCTATGACTTAAATTGTACCATAGGAATTTTTCCAGCAATCATTTTTGCATTTTATTCCAGAT